GGACAAAACACAAAATCTAAATCAAGTCATGTTAGCATGTCAAAGCCAAATTTATGCATTAAAAATATATTTCCCCGCAACAATAAAACTGTGTCTAGTGAAAATGGTGAGTGGCTGAGAGGGGTCTGGATGCAGACCTGGTGCAGTGCAATCTGAGCAGCATCCAATGCTTTTTAATGGGCTCACCTAACCCCACCCCTAACCCTACTCCTCACAGGGACGTCACTCCATTTGCATTGTGTCTGACATTTCATCGCTGAGTGATGCAATCTCACCTTGCATCATACAGGCTGCATCCAGATACTATTGGAGAGGCTAGTAATGATGGAAATCTACTAGTATGTTTTTAAAAAGGTATAATAAATAAGTGTTAGTATTGTATTTGAATAGTTATTCAACAAGTCTACAAACAGCATGAAAATAGATACTAATATATTGTGTAAACTAAATGTGAAAATGGCTTGCCACAGCGGCACACAACATAAACAGATATCAGCTGACAGGCGGACATGAATATGGGTGAAATGCTAACAAAGATACACTCAAGTATCTGCTAAAACAACTGATGCTACAAAGTAAAGTTACTTGATTATTGATTTGGTTTTATAAATAAGAAAAATGACTGGCACATTCAAATAAGATTCAACATGTAGAAATGTGAATCATTTACCACGGTAAACCATCATCCTGTCCAGGCAATGCATTAGATGTCGCTTCAGCAGGGCGAGTCTGAATATTTCTATATGAAACAGCACACTCTAGTGGTTAAAACATCCAACTGCACTGCTAACTGTACTCAAACTCTCACTATTTACATCCGTGCAAATGGCAGACAACTCCACTACAGGCGCTGGGAAATTGAATACACGACCTTGGTTTTGCAAAATTCATGCTCTGCTATTCATCAAGGCCACATTTCTGAAGAAAACTGAAGTGTTGCAGAGCATGCCATGATGATGCTAGAATGTTTTAAGATGCAGGTGTTGAGTTACTTTATTATGTGGTTGCTAGGGCACTGACAAGCATTTGCTAAGGTGTTTTGAGGGTATCTAGTGCTTTATTATATGGGTGTTAGGGTATGTTGGGTGCTTTCTGTGGTGTTGCTGTGCATTTACTTTGTCTGAGGTTTAAGTTGGGTTATTGCTAGCGAGTTGCTGTGCAGTTTCTGAAAGTTAGGTAAATATTAATTAATTAATGGGTTATTCTGGGTGGTTGTAAGGGTGTAGTTATGCAGTTACTGTAGTTTAGGTAAGTAGCTTTGGGTGTTCTGTGTACTTTCTAGGATGTTTCTGTGGCACTGCTGCTTATCTGTTAAGTTGTTTTGAGAGTTACTGTTATTGCTGGGATGTTCTAGGTGGTTGTTAGGGTGTTTCTGTTAATGTAGTTTATATCAAGGATTTCTTTTCAACCCGAGACCCCCAACGTGACTTGCGACCTCCAACACCTATAGTTATAAATACAGAAACCCTGAAAGCAATGGTGCACACACACCAATAGACCCAAGTCTATTATTCGTTTAATTTTTTTATATATATAAGTGCTGTAAATGGGCCAGAAATGTTAACCTGGTGTTATAAAATCAATCTGCTACATCTGATGCTATTGCTGTGTCTTTAATATAATGTGATTACCCCAGGGGTCGCAATACAATAGATCTAGTACCTATAAGCTACTATAGTTTATAGTAACTATAAACAACTATCTTTTCTCTTCAGTTGGTTAAGGATAAAATATGGTAATTCTTATGGTTTAATAAAAATAAGTCAATTTTTGGAAATCACCAGGCGACCCCCCTTCATTGTTCTGCAACCCCTCGAGGGGTCACGACCCCCACTTTGAAAACAACTGGTTTATATAATGTGTATGATGTGTATTGTGTATGATGCGTAATGCCATTAATAAGCTGTAATAAAATTTGTAATGACTGAGTGTTTTTAAAACTTATTTTAAGCAATCTGAAGGTAATGCAATCTTTACTGGAGCTGGAAATATATCTCCTTTGATCCATATATGTACACATAAATATGTAAACTGTCTATACAATCACTTTTTAGTAAGACATGTCACACTCTTTTTGTTTTTTAACATATGTTTAGACAGCCAAGTAAAATAAAATCTAATTCATACATTTAATCTGGAGTTTTCTCCTTCAAAAACGTCCTGCCGTTATCAGAGCACAATGAATCTTGGGATGTCCGAGACCACGAAGGATCCACCGGTTGTATCCTTCATTACATGGGAAATGAAGAATGACTTTTCAGGCTGTGTTTAAAGGAGCCTTCTAATTTTTTTAAATGAGACAGCCTTCGTCTTGCCGTGATTACGCAGCGCACTTCGAATGCATCCTTCGGAGGATGAGGCCAGCCTCTGAAATGAGACACAGCTAAAGTTTTTTTGAAGTTAAAAAAAACATTATGTGGTTGCTTGGTGGCTCTAAGACTTTTATTTTGTAACTTTGTGGTTGCTGAGCTGTTCTGATTGATTGCTACAATGTCCCCATGCAGTTGCTTCTGAATAAGTTATTTTGTGGTTGCTGTGGTAATCATGGGTGATCACTAGGGCACTGCTGTGTGGTTTTTTAAATTGATTTGAAAGTTGAGTTAATAAAGTTGAGGATCTATGATGTCAATTTTTATGCAAGAAGTTAGAAGTGAGTTAGCATTTTAGCAGTTCCGATTCCCTCGTTCCAAAATCAATGGGTTATTTGAATGGGATTTTGTGTAAATTGATTAAAATGGGTTTGTGGGTACCACAAACTCAAGATGCTTTCACATTTTATTTTATGACATAAAACACATCCGTTACACACCACTGATTTTCTAAATTGGTTACCCTTCTTTTAAAAGGAGGTAGCTAACAAGCTATTGCTAAATGGGACTACAGGCGATGTTGGAGAGATAATACAGCATCGAGCTGAACTGTCTGGAACGCAGCCCGCTTTAAATTTACAGCTTGCCTTGGACATTTGCATTTGTTTGTTATTTGGTTAAGTAAATATATAAAATATATATAAATATTATATATAAATATTTTATAGTTATATTTTTCTAATTGAGCATTCATATTGTGTGTAGCATTTACTTGAATTGATTTGAAGTTGTAGAGACCGTAGTGACAGATTCAGCTCTTGATCATTTATTTTAATAAAGCTATTTTATGAAGATATTGCTTACCACAGTGCAGCCTGTCTCTTTTCCGTTTTCAGTAATGCAAATGTGTGAAGCCCAGTCAGTGTAGTCTGTTTGTAGCCTAATGTTAGCTTTTCAGTTTTTCCATTTGCATTTAGGACCCAAAAGTGACAAAAGTTCTCTTTTCACGTAAGGATTGTCTGGTTAGACAAAAAGTGTAACAAACTGTGTTTGAATACAGAGCTTATTATTTGCAATCTTTGAAAAGCCTATGGGAATGCTAGCAGCCAATTGGCCTACAAGGTGACATCAAAGTTTCTCCACTCTATTACTACATACAGTGCTCAGCATAATTGAGTTCACCCTATTTTGAAAACGAATATTTTTATCCATTTCTCAGTTAATATTGGCAACGTATTTTGGTGCATTTAAACAAAACAGCACGGTACTTTTTGTGTTCTAGGTGCTTGCTGTTGTTGTTGCTATGCAGTTACTGTAGTTTAGGTAATGTGTGCTCTGAATATTTTCTAGGGAGTTGTTTAGGGGGTTACTAGTGTGTTCCTATGCAGTTACTAAAGTGTTTTGAGGTTAAATGAGTTACGTGTTTGCTTGGTGGTTTAAGGTTTTAATGTTATTTTGTGGGCGACAAGGTGGCCAATGTTGACAAATTAGCAACTTTGTCGCTAGATTTAGCAACTTTTCAGATCCCCCCTAACAACAAATTAAAAAAAAACAACTAGCAACAAATCTAGTGACTTTTTTTGTGTGTTACTGTAGATTTTTACAGACTCTCATGTGTACATATTGTATCGTCCCTGCTCTTCTCACCGAACTGTGGGTGATGCCGTCTGCCCCTCCCCTGCCTCAGAGCACTGACAGGCAGCCCAGTCCTCGTACAGCAGCCTCTCCCACCTGCAGCCTGACAGCAGATCACCCCTCTGCGTACCGACTGCAAATGATTTAGCACCTGCAGTGTAAAGGTATTTCCCTTGTAGGCCTACAGTCAAACTGATCTGCTTCTCCTTCATTTTAACAATTTAATCTGACTGTTTATTCTTTTCTTGTTCACAATCACAGATATTTTAAGTGAGAGTTTCAGAACTTGTCTGAGTTTATTACGTCTGAGAGATTACTGCAAATTCACTACACATCTATAATGATATTATGTATTTTAACAGCAATCAATTTAGTTAAATTGGCATGCTTACTTAAAGCGTAGTGCAAATATAAATACCCCTTTATTAACCATAGGCTGTTAAACAAATAGAAATGATAGACCGTGATGGCGTCTGTAATATACAAATTAACGTATGACGTAACCTTTTAGCAACTTTTCAGACAGAGCTTGGCACCTTTTCATTGAAAATAGTTGGCAATAGTGACGGTGGCTCAGTTGTTAGCACTGTCGCCTTACGGCAGAAAGGTTGCTGGTTTGAGTCCCGGCTAGATCAGTTAGTTCTTCCCATGTTGGCATAGGTTTCCTCGGGTGCTTCGGGTTCCCCCACAGTCCAAAGAGCATCCGCTGTGTAAAATATGTACTGGATAAGTTGGTGGTTCCTTTCGCAGTAGTGACCCCTGATTTTTAAAGGGACTAAGCCAAAAAGAAAATTAATAATTGAATAAATGAATGAATGAATGAATAAAACAACACAATTTCTGTGTTTTTTTTTGGAGAAGTTCAATTTACTTAAATTTGTAAAAACTAATAAGACAGCCTATATCCTTTATGTTGTCCCAACACAAATCGATTGCCAGCACTTGTTACAGTGAAGAATCAATACAGTCTATAAGACATTCAGATCTCCAGGCATAGTTTTTATCACTGCAGGTTTAGCTAATGATTTGACTGTAACTATTCGGTGTCATAATTACCTTAGGGAAATTGGGTAGGTGAAATGGTTCCATTGCTTTCCTTGGCAAGGTGCTGCTGGAGGACTCACTGCTAGACACGCTCTGATGCTCCTTTTCTCCATCCTCCAGCACTTCTTCCCTCCTGCCGCGCTCCAGTTTTTTCACCTTGCGTATGGAGGCGTACTCTGCCGTCACTGCATCCTGACTCATGCCGTTTACACCTCCTCTGCTTCCACCTCTGCCGTTCCCATTGACCGTCGGGCTGTGGGTGAGGCGCAGAGTGCCGGTGTCAGCTGACGTCGGGGCAGGAGGCGGGGGAGCTTTATCAGGCCCCGCCCCTTTTATCCCAACGCTCTCGTAGAGTCCGTCGTCTGGCGGGTGGCTTGTAGGAGATGCACGGCGACCAACTTCTGAGTAGGTGTGCTCACGTTCCTCATTGTCAGGTTTGTTGGGCACACGGGGCAGCTGGCGGCCTGAGCTTTGGCGCAGGTCTGAATTGGAGCGTCGAGTATGGAGCAGGAGGAGGTCCATGCTGGCCGGACGACTCTTAGGAGCGCCTGTCAATCAGAATAATGTGGATTAAGATGAGAGAGATTAAGTGAAGGTTGGAGATTACAGTGTTTATATCATATATATATATATATATATATATATATATATATATATATATATATATATATATATATATATATATATATATATATATATATACCTTTTGTACTCTGTATAAGTATAAGGTATAAGGCAAACACATGAGGGCAGAATATTACTTTGATTATCTTGTATTTTTGTCACACTATTTTATTTTACTTTGTCAAACTAGCATACAGGTATTAGTAAAGGCATTCATATCCATTCATACAGTATTCCAAACATTTTAACAATGCAATTATACTGTAGATAGTTTATTACTGCCTAAAGTTAACCATGACTATTATTCTCTACTTTGTCGGATTTCTATTGACAATATTGACATTTCCGCATTTATCATAAACTTTATTACATGGTCTATCCAAGGTACGTATTTTTTTAAAGTACTTTCCTTTGGATCAAAACTGTGATTGCTGCATTACTATAATGAGAATATCTACCAATTAAGCTACACAAATCCTAAATGTTTACATTTCAGATAAGTTGGAGAATTTGCTATTCAAGTTTTTTTTTTAAAGATGCTACACCAAAACAGGATTTTATAAGCTGGGTAAAATTTAATTTCATTTAGAGTTGTGAAACATTTTTGTTAAGAAGGAAGTTAATCCAGGGTTAATCAATTTGTGAAAATTGATAATAATAAGCAAGCCAAATGGAAAGAAAAAACTTCCGCATTTCACGATGTGTGTATGTGTGTGTGTGCTGTCCTTTACTGAACTGTGTGTGGATCTTGTTGGAAAATATGGCGAAAAGTCATACATGACGGTAATAGTTTGATTGTGGTGTTTTCATCAATAATTCCACTAATATCCGCATACTCCACATGTCTTAATTCCATTTCTGTTTAGTTCAGTTATGACTTAAATTGGATTAAGAAAATTAAAAAACGCTGTTTGGCGCTTATGTAGGCCTACAGTTCAAAATTCATGTTTAACTGAATAAACAGTAAACACAAGTACATCTTCTTCAACACCATTTATTTTTCATTATCATAGTAGAACAGTTTCTCATGCAGTTTGTGATGGATTTTAGAAACAGGAGATGGGCCCCTGGTCTAATGCGCCACCTGGCTTGAGAAACCCATTCTCAAAAACTTATATTTAGTCATTATTTAGGTAGCACACAAATTCTGAATGTCTTCGGCAGAATTCAAATGAGTCAATTTAATCTGGATTAATCTAGATTAATTCCGAGATTACAGTGAGATTTATCTAGATTAAAAAGTGTACCTATGCTCATCTATAATGAAAAGCCTTTTTTATTTTCAGTTAGCAAACTAACAATTTAGCCTCGTCTGAGGTTCATACAAAGCACACTATGAGCTACTCGCAGCGCCAAATCAACAAGCAACCCTTCATTTCAACGGAGAGCGAGCGACTTTTGGCAACCTTGAAGAATATTTTTTATTCTCTAAAAGTATTCTCTAAAAGTATGTAATATAGTAGTGTGCAGTAAACATGAGCCAGGCTAAAACTAGGTTTGTGTAAGATGAGTAAATCGGCGCAGGACCAACACTATGAGAAAGCAATGCTGAAGAATGTAGAATAACTGAATATGTAACTGATGTAACTGATTATTTATGTTAAATACTCATATGAAGCTATATCTGTGAAAGGCATTTAGGAGAGTGAGTGACATATTATCAAGCTAATAAAACATGACAATATATGTAAACACTTAAAAGAAGTTGCATCTATGAATTCTCGGGTGTGAAAACAAGAATAAGAGGACCACCTAAACATATACTTGGAAGTAAAAACTTATTCAAGGATGGTTAGAAGTTAAAACAAGAACACCAGGAGTTGGGGCAGAGAAACTATATAAAGATTGTGAAGAACACAGGCATTCAGGAATTGTCCAGGAGAGAATTCAGATTACTCTGAGGTCTGCTCTACACTTTCTCGGCTTTATTGTGTTGAATATAGTCTATTTTTTTTGGTATTCAAAACCTCCTGTCTGACCGTCGTCATTTATGAAAAGGCAGGCAACTATGGCAACTTCTGTCTACGCGAGTGACTGCGACCTTTGGCGGCCAGGTGGGCGTGTGGAGTGATGCGACCAAGTTGAGAATCCTTCAAATTCACACAGCCCTGCGTTTGACCACCTAGAGTGACAGGCAGCTACAAAGTCGCTGCTAGTGTGAATGAGGCCTTAGGTCTCAATCGAATGTATGTCGTTACGAGCACATAGTTTGGCAATTCTGTGTTTCCTAAATCCTTCGTTCAACTTTGTCGTTGTAACTACACCTCTAGACCTGCAGTTAGAAGCATACCGAACCTGGCTGTAGTCTTTTCTAAGTTAACCCCCTACGCCCTATTCATTTCAAGCACTTCACCAAACACTATGAATGATTTTCAAAGCTCAAGGTTGTCTTGCTTACATTTTCTGTGATTTGCTTTCTAAGTTATTTCTATTACAGCACAGTTTTTATGTTGTACAGATTGATAATTGCAGTCTCTTCAAAGTGCCATCGCAAACATTTATGCAGTTTTGAACACAGTCATAGCTTGCGAAGAAATGTGACTTATGATTTTTGAATGCAAATCTTTCCAAAGAATTCTATATGTTTCTGTACTGTACATATTTGCAACATTTCTACAGTGTTATAGAGTTTAAATACTTTTTACTTTTTAAATGAATTATTTAAAAATAATAATTTCTGCAACAAAGTGAAGTTTATTTATAAACTAATTTCAAGAGGATCACACGATGATTGCTTATGATTGCTTGCAGCCGGTCCCGCATTATTAAATTTATGATTCACCAATCAGACGATTCCTAAGCCAATATAAACACCCTAAGTTCCATATAACAGCCATTTTCGTTTTGAATAATCCCCCTCTCCACCCCTACTTCTCCTCCTTTCCTAGATGAGTGGCACGGTGGCCCAGTGGTTAGCAATGTTGCCTTACAGCAAGAACGTCACTGATTCAAGTCCTTACTAGCTAGCCAACGTTTCTGTGCGGAGTATACACATTCTCCCCGTGCTCACGAGGGTTTCCTCCCACCGTCCAAAAACATGCAACTTAAGTTGATTGACTATTCCAAATAAGCACCATAGACATGCTCCTAGTAAGTAGTTATCTCTTAAAAGCAATAACTATCTGTTTATTAGTTACTACAGCAAGGGAGTTCTCTAGATCTACCTGAGCTTAAACTCCCCTCTCGCCTTGCAAACAGGAGGGAGCCCGAGGCTCGAGGATCTTGTGAACTTAGGGCTCTCTCCCAGGACAGCATGCCAAACAAGCTTTATTATCAATCATCAGCTAAGTGTGAACTCTTGAAATGTAATTTTAACGATTTAAATTTTAAACAATACTGTATAAAAAAAGCATCTGTTATTAGTTTTTACTCCAAGCCCTTTAGGAACGTCATTACAGATGTTTTACGTTTTAACTAGTGGTTCAAATGATGAATCTGCAACAAAAGCAAATATGATTTTTACAAAAAAAAAAACAAAAAAAACCTGTCACTATATTATTTTTTCCCCAAATTATGCATCATACTTTGATTGTTCAGCTGCAAGATAACGTTGGTTACACCAATGTCTGCGAAATCAAACAAGGTTAGCGACAAGATCTCTTATAAAAATTAACAATTCTTAAACTACAAATAAAGCCACGAAATTAGTTTAACCATGATAACCACAAACTATTATTTTGTAACAATAACCATAGCTTAACCAGGGCATTTGAAGTAAATCTGTAGTTATACAAATATAATCAATGCTAAAAAAAAAAATGTTAACTACAGTCACTTTTACCATAATAACACCATGACTAGGTTTAGTTAAGGCTTTCTGCCAAACCTGTGCAGGAGGTCATTTCAAAGCAATGAATTAAGCATTTTTTTTAAAAACTTGGGCTGATTAATCATCCATATTATGACTAGGAGCATGTAATATGAACCAAAATGTGTCCTTGTATATGTTTTGTGTATTTTGACTTTCAATGGAGCTCAAAACCCATTGATTTAGATGTAAAGGCTTTGTAGATGATGTGTATGAAGCTTTATAATGTGATTATAATCTTTCTTAGCTCTGCACATCACATGTTTGTTGCAGCGGGAGCATGAGCAAGTAAACATCCAACCATCACAAGCCTCTGGAGACGTCATCCTCACACATACACAAGTGCGTCGACCGGTGCCAATGAGCGTATATGTGTGGTATATGAGTCTGTGCGTGAACGTGTCATAAAGAGCAGTTCGGTGTCTGTGTTTGTCTTACCGTTGGCATTGCAGGGCAGCCTTTGCATGTCATGCAGGCGGGTGTCAGATTTACTCATTGAGTTCAGCTTGGACTGCCGCAGAGCAGCCTACGAGACAAAACATCATCATGTAAATGAATATACATTCATGTTCATAATGACACAAATGCGAATATGTTTGTGTGTTTATTCATACTTATTTGCACTCACCGTTTCCATTCTCTGACTCGCTCCATTGGCATGGCCATGTTTGGTCTTGCTTTTTCTGAAGGTAAAATGAAAGAAGCTCTGTTTGTAACTTGTACATTTAGTGACTGGACCATCATATTAATATAAATTTCCCAATATAACAATAATAAAAAAATAAATCTAGCGAGAGGCTTTCTTAGATAGTATTCTAAGGCAACATAAGTGACCTCCAGATTGCATGTAGACTGAAGTATCATAAAGATAACTATAAGACAGCATTGCATAGGGAAAAATTGCCACACAGACCCACACAGAAATACATACTTTAGTCAGGTCAGCTCAGATCAGGGGTATCAAATACAATTGCTGGAAGGCCGCAGCCCTGCACAGTTTAGTTCTAACACTGCTTCAACACACTTACCTGTAGGTTTCAAACAAGACCCTCAAAACCCTTGATCTCCACTGAAGGACACCAAAACAACATGTGTGGTGGTGGAGGGTCAAGTCTTTAAATAGTGGAAATTAGCTGACATTGATCTATATCTTAAATAATTACATTAACAAGAAAAACAAAGAAATAAATATACAGTTGAACTCAGAATTATTAGCCCCCCTGTTTATTTTTTTACCCCATTTTCTGTTTAACAAAGAGCAGATTTCTTCAACACATTTCTAATCATAATAGTTTTAATAACTCATTTCAAATAACTGATTTATTTTATCTTTTCCATAATGACAGTAAATAATATCTGACTAGATATTTTTCAAGACACTTCTGTAGACCTTTTTCATGGCTGCTGCATGGCGGGTGCCATAGCGACCAGCGTCTTTCGGTAGAATGCTAAAAACTTCCGTTTACAGCGTGTACAACTGGTAATTTGCGCTCCGAAAATGGGTTTCAATAACGTTTTTAATGGATAACAAAGTGTTTTTGTGACACACAACTTAGAAATGAGTCTGTTAAAGCCGTTATAATCTGTCACATGTGGTTCAAGCGCAAGAAAGAAAAGAAAAAAAGAAAAACATTCTCCTAGTTCACGTGTCTGCCGTCAGAAATACATTGTGTTGGTGCGTTCCCGGCCTTTCAGCTGTTAGCTCAGCGGCTCTTTCACACACACACACACACACACACACAGAGAGAGAGAGAGAGAGAGAGAGAGAGAGAGAGAGACAGAGAGCAAACCAGAGTACTGGCATGAAACTTAAAAGGTATGAAAGTCATGCAATTTACAAAAATGACCAATAAAAGTCTGTTACTGATCCTCTGCTGGCTGATTTGCTGTTCATTCTAATCGCGAGCCGTTTGCGTTTTATTTTGTGTGTTGTTTTTACCACGGTTTGTGTTTTTTTGTCATTTCGAAATAACACTAGCCTATATTTTCACTTTGTCACAGTTATTAAATCAGTGTGTCAGTGGCACAGTACAGGCTACGTGTGTGTGTCAAACATTTTGGTGAACTACATTTGTTTGGGCTGGTTATATATTTGAAACAAAGAGAAAATGTTGACTTTAGCGATGACAAGGCTTCATTTAAACTGCAGAAGATGCCGCCTGACAACGAGGGGAAAATGCCTCACAGCAGCTGTATTCCATCCCTTTAGATCGCATGTCTTTAAATGATCAGTTCAGGAGATGGTGCTGATGGACAACAGAATTAGTTCAAAGAGGATGAAAGCAGGTAAAATAAATGAAAACTATCGTTTTAAAGCTGTCCAAATGTGACTGTTTCCGGCTGCCGACCGGAAGTTCTTCTCATTCTCCTTGCGCATACACGCAAAGCATCATGGGCAATTTTGCGTTCCAAGAAAAAGTTCTATACAGCTTGAAGTGACATTTAAAGGCTTAACTAGGTTAATTAGGATAACTGGGCAGGTTAGGGTAAAGCTTTTCTCCCCATAGAATACCAATCATACACACGCGAATGCGCAGGGTCATGTGTCAAATTTCGAAATCGCATCACTTGACTGCGCGAGACCAATTGAGGATTAAAACATGACATATCTGGACAGAAATTTAAAACATGGAGTAATCGCTCGCTTTTTTAAATGTCTAATAAGCTTGTTTAATCCCGCCTCTTTTCGCTGCACCACATGACAGAATAACGCATGCTTAAACTCTAATGTGACCACAGCTTCATTAGGCAAGGTATTGTATTACGATAGTTTGTTCTGTAGACTATCGAATGGAAATATAAAGCTTAAAGGGGCTAATAACCTTTGACCTTAAAATCTTTAAAAAAGATTTTAAAAAGAAAGGATTCGAAAAAGAAAGTTCTTTAAAAAATTAAAACTGCTTTCATTCTAGCCAAAATAAAACAAAAAAGTCTTTCTCCAGAAGAAAAAATATTATCAGACATACTGTCAAAATTTCTCTGCTCTGTTAAACATCATTTGGGAAATATTTAAAAAAGAAAAAAGGTGGGCTAATATTTCTGACTTCAACTGTACATTTGATCACCTCTATAACCATTAATACCATTGTGAATGCATGAATGCAGCAGCCTCATTATACAGGGAAATACTCAGTCGGCAAGCTGAATCTAGAATCTGAACACCAGCAGATTTAGCCTATACAGACAGATGCCGTAAGTGTTCAAAGGGTGATTTTCTTGAAAAAAAAAAAAGGTGTTTTTAATCTACATTTAGCTTAAACTCATATCTAATTTAAAATGCACCTGGAAAGGGCTTGAAAGCCGCCCATCAGAGGTTACCATATAGGTCAGAATAAGCTCATTATCCCTCAAAACACAGACAAGTTAATTAAGTTTAATAACCAATGAGATGTAATTGAATTAAATATATGAATTTGGTTCACTGAAGCGTGCATATTTATTCACATCAGGGGTGTCCAAACTCGGTCCTGGAGGGCCAGGGTTCTGCAGATTTTAGCTCCAACTTGCTTCAACACACTTGCAAGGAGTAAAGCCTAGTAAGAGCTTGATTAGCTAGGCCAGCTGTGTCTGATTGGGGTTGGAACTAAACTTTGCAGGTGTCCGGCCCTTCAGGACCGAATCTGGACATCCCTGATTTACACGAAAACTACTAAAAATAGGTGACCCCCATAGTCAATGTATAATTCGCATACTGATTGGAACTAAACTGTGCAGAGCTGCGACCATCCAGGAACTGAGTTTAACACCTGTGGTCTAGATGTATGAGAAATAAAAATGACTTCAGCTTACATTTGACTGCAGTTTTTAGGTTAAATGAACACTAGGGGGCAGTATGAGGGCAGCAACTTTTGTTCCTTTTCACATTAATGGTTTATAATGATAATACAGAGATATATTATTGACCAATGAGATTATTTTTGTGCAGTTTTGTTGCACAACACCAAATAAATACCGCAAGACAACTCAATAATGTCTCTGACAGGGATGCCCAAAACTTTTTCTTATAAAAGGCCAAAAACCAAACTTAATTGAGGGCTGTGGGTCAGAGTTAAATATACCAAACTGAGTTACATTAAATCCGCTCATTTGTTTGCTTATTATTTAAAAATATCTAGAAAAGGTTGATTTTGCTCATTTTGTACACTGTTGTACTTGTGATGCAAATACTGAAAGCTCAGGTTCAAATGTGGTGTAGCACGGTTCTACAAAAGCAATGTACTGTAAAATCATGATAAATCTATGTGGTCCTAGTGCACTTTTCTCTTACGTTTGATTTTTAAACACTAATGCTTGGATTTAGGGAAGGGTTTTGGTCAATGCTTCGCTAGATCACAAGAAATACGTGCTAAAACATACAACAAAACGTACCCTATAAAGTTGCATTTATTTAGCTAAAGAAATTTAGTGAAGAGCTTTACTCAAAATGTTTGCATTAAATTAGATTTTGAATCAAATATTTGCTGTTGAGCTTATTCACCAGATTTTTTTCTTCTGTATTAACAGATATTATAAGTAGGACACACATTGAAATACTCATCTGAAAATCCCTGGAGTGTTACTAGGCCTTTTGTAACTTTAAAAAAAATGATATTGTTAGCGAAAAAGATGCACCACAAAGATAACATTAAGTGTCAGTTTTGGAATGTTCATCACAAGTATACTGTAAATAAGCTGAATAAATGAGCTTTCCATTAATGTGTGGTTTATGATACACTCGAAAAATAAGTATTTTTTATGCTGCTTGTTCAAACTACTTATTTACAATGAGCTAAAACAACACAATTCTGGAGATTGTTTTGGGAAACTTAATTGTTTTATGTTCAATCCACTTAAATTTGTTTCATTAACTTTGTTACAGTAGGTAATGTATTTTTGTTGGTTTGTGTTGGGATAACATGAATGAATTGTATAGAACCATGCATTTTATTTTACAGTGTAGGACAATATTTGCTAGAGATACAACTATTTAAAAATCTAAGGGTTCAAAAATGTAAATATTGTGAAAATCACCTTTAAAACATTTAGCAAATGGTTTTATAATAATAAAAATATATATTTACAGTAGGAAATGTGTTAAACAATTTGATATTTGCTTGATTTTCTAAACATTTTTAAATAAAAAGAAAAAAATCTATATGTTTTATGTTTTAGAATGTGTTTTTTGGTTATTGCCAGCATCATAACCATGCAATATAGTATTCATTTAGTAGTTTAGGTTCCCATATATGGGGTTTCCCCTGATAAAGGGTTAATTAAACACTTAAACAAAAGGAATTACTAAAATTACACTTGACTTGTGTCACTTTCACATATACAGTTGAAGTCAGAAATATTAGCAAACCTTTTTTCTTTTTTAAATATTTCCCATATGATGTTTAACAGAGCAAGAAAATTTTGACAGTATGTCTGATAATATTTTTTTCTGGAGAAAGTCTTATATGTTTTATCTTGGCTAGAATGAAAACAGTTTGAATTTTTTTAAAGAACATTTTATGGTCAAAGGATATTAGCCCCTTTAAGCTATATATTTTTATTTGATAGTCTACAGAACAAACCATCATTATACAATGACTTGCCTATGTCACGATCACCAGAGATCTACCAACCAGAGATCGCTTGTAAATACTCACATTCACATGAACTACAAATCCGCCATGTTAACGACTACATATTCAGTTAAGCA